CTGACAATTGAATTTTTTTTTTTAAATTTATGTTTGACAGGCAAACTCTGTGCTCATTAGATACCGAAATCAAGAGAAATACTAGGCGATTCAATTTAACGTGATTCGACTGAATCACATCGAATTATATTGAAATGAGCAGAATAATCTAACGAGATCGATTAAACTCAATGCGTCTGCCTTTTTTGGTTTGGGAAATCATGAGAACAACTCAAATATCGATGAGCCAGCGAGAAAAATGTCTGGCCTAGAGTATCACATGTGAGTGATCTGATTTGTATAGCTGCTTGTTAGCGGTGACCCATCCTCTACCTACCCTCGATTATTTTCTCTCTATGTTTCTCTCTCGCATCTTCTTTCTACTGTATTGTTTCTGTTATTATGCTTTTCTTGTTCTTCTCTATGAATATATATGTACCTATTGATTTAAGGACATTTATGAAGACTTAAAATAAAATAAATAAACCAAGTTGCGCTCGTCGAAACGACCTAACACTGTTGTTGGAAAAAAGATCGTTTCACATAAACTGTCTATCCTTCACTATGTTCATCTCAAGCCATTATAATATGCTGTCATCAAATTAGTAGTGTGAACAAAATGAATTTAAAGAAATATTCCAAAGAAGAAAACAATATTCTAGGGATAAATTCTTAAAAGAATCATCTCTACCCTCCCATCTTCAAACGGATTGAATATTTATGTTCTTCTTTTACAAAATCTCAAAAATTTTTCATATTCAGGCATGGTTTTTTGACCAAGTAGCTTAACTAACAGTGCTTCGCCAGTATGTATGTTGTGCTTCAGTTTACATATAAAGTTTTACAAGAATCAGTCAACTATGGAATGAACGTTATGAATAAAGAGAACAGTAACGAAGAACGAAATTGATGGAATCTTGCGGAGACACTAGTACATAGAGTATTGTACACAATCGAATCAAATCGTGCGATCAATTTTTCATTTTGTTTTGGTCTCTGATGTTCAGTCAAAAGTTTTTTTTGTACCTTCATAAATTGCTAGATTTAAGAATGACACCCTCTTCATTTAAAATGGATGAATATCACCGATATGGAGAGAAAAACATTTTCTTCAATAATTACAACCATTTTCCCTCTAAACGCGCTCTACCTATAATCTTCAAAATCTGTACAACTCCTTCTGTATTGCACTCACACGGGTTTGAACGATGAAAGAAATATACTTTTGAGAGAGATTCGAGTTTCTCTTAAATCTGTAGGTCACTGTTTGTTCTCTTACCTGTTATCGGTGGACAAATTCTTTGATCGATCATCGACACTGGATAACAGACTGGAAGATTATGACAGTGAGGATGATGAATACAGATATGGCCCGATTCACTACAATGATTGTTTGTGCTTTCACATTCAACTAAGTCAGAGCAAGGTATATGTCGAAAGCCACAAATGCCAATATCAGAAGAACCTTCCATATGAAAACAGACACATGCACTATTCGATGAACACCGTTCATATTGGGATATTCCACGGCATATTTGAGATTTAACTCGAACTACCGATATAGTAAATTAATGTTAGGGCATGAGCAACGAAACAAGAATCAAACCTGTAAGACTTAAAAATAAAACTGTCTTACGTTAGATGAATAGGAAAAAAATAGATTTTAGAGTTACGTGAATAGAACCAATACGAAACATCGATTTACCATTGAGACCATCCCTTTCATCTAAATAAGAGAGAATAGTAGTGAGGCGCCTATTTATATCTCATGAATAGGTAACATGTTTCACATTCGTTGAAAGTTAAAAGACCCATGAAATAATCTCTCGATAAATAGAAACTCAATATTGCTATAACGCTCGCTTAATTACTTGATTTTTCTCTAAGAAAAACAACCTTGATCGAAGAGAAAGAGGAGGGCGGCAATAAAAATAGTAAACGATTGCTTCTGCGATAAGACCATTAAATTGACTTGTCTCATCACACCATACATCAGTATTGTTTCTGTCCGTTATTGACACAGCTATGAAACGACAGCTTAGAATAAGTTCAAAGAGAACATTTTTTTGAAAATATTTGTGATCTTTTTTTGTTATCAGCAGATTACAGAGACTCTCATATTAATTAAATCAAAGTCACAATATATAGTTAGTCCACACTTAGTTGCATTTCGGATGTTGTCTCTTCGTCCCACTTCTAGGATTTCTTTGTTCGATTTTCATTTGGAAAGTTTATTTTTGATATAAATATGTTCATTTGATGGGAAATAGTGATAAGTGCTCGCGTCCTTTGGTAAGACAATAGAATTGTAATGATTTTTAAACAAAATTTGAAGTAACTCTTTCACATGGTTTTTTTAAAGTTCGAGACTTTTATGAAGATTGTACGGCAGATTCTTGTAATATTTCAGTGATTGAGTGTATTTTATAATATGCTTTGCTATTTATGCATAAAGCATTAAATAGTCTTCCTTATGTGCTTGTTTTTTTTTTTCGTGAGAAATATTCAAAACTTGTACTAAACTGAAAGGTATACTTAGAAACACTCACTTGGAGATGAAATTCTGTTGAAAGATAATGATAAACTTTGATTTCTTCAATACTAGCTGCTATTGGTATTGACTTTGCTTTATATTAACAGGAAAAATGACTACATCATTAGCATCAAGTAATGCTGTTCATATTTTTATAAGAAAAACCTTATCATTGATTTATATATTATGCAGATCAAAATTTCAGATGATGAATAAGTTCGGAGATAAATAATTTCTCTTTTGTATTTATTTTTCCATGATCAATGTATCGTATTGACTAGAACCAGTCAATGATTATTATCGAAAAATAAAATATACACGAGACATTATATGATGAAAAGAAACTTTGTTAAGTTCAGTTGCAAATGACCTGACAAATAATTATACTTACCAATACTGTATGATAACAGAAACGGGCTTTAGGATTCCATGAAATAATAGAAGAATCTCAAATATTATTCACATAATCAAACTTTCAATAATCTACTACTGTCCGCTTAGTCTTTTCGTGCTAAATATTTAGCCATATTTTTTTATTTAGGTTGATAAACTAGGAAAGCTATTAATCTGTCTTAGTTCATAAAACTTAATTGGTTTCAACAATTGCTCGCAGTCTGGTCTTCAATTGGGTGTGGTTGTGTATGTGTGAGGATCATTTTTTTGTCTCCACCATTAATAAGCTTTGTATGTCCTCATCGAGCTGTATTAACTAGTATAAATCCTAGTAAAAATGGAGACTCACACTTGGGGACCTTCCTTCGTAAGCACGTATATCGCTCTTACTTTGCTTTGTTTGCTTTTGGTATACAATAACTTGCTTCTTCCTCCTTGTGTTTGTGCATAACTTCGTCAAAATATTCACGATAACTAATTATATGTATTATCAACACGTAGAATGTTGTATTGATGTATGAACAGAAATATTTAATAATATAGATTAAGTGAGTTTTCTTATTTGTTAAGACTTTTCGCCATCCAAAAAAAATAATGACTGAGTCACTTGACAAGCATTATGTGCGTTATCAATTGGACCTCAATATTAGCATATAAAACACTTTATCTAGCATACGTGGCGTCGTGTTATAGGAGGAAGCAAAAAATTGTTTTTATGCCGAGCATCAACAAAATGCAAAAAAAAAGAGAACTTGAGGACGCAAGGGAGACAATAAGAAATTGCCAAATAATTGAAACATTGAAACAAAATCAAACAAGACAAGACTGATGCATTTTGATTCGTTATCAAGCGAGCTTTTACTCGACTTGTTCGAATATTTTGATTGCGTTCATCTATTTCGCGCTTTCTTTGGTCTCAACACTCGCGAGTGCACCATCTCGATTTACGACGGGTCTCCAAACACGATTTCAACAATCTCTGTGAACAATATCTTCTTTCGATAGTTGATCGTATAGTTTCACTTCACCTGGCAGATCATGAAGAAACTCCAGGTCTTCCCGAATTCTTTCTCTCTTGTGGTTTTATTCTCAATCAATTCACTCCTTTGCAATCACTTTCATTATATGATATCGGTTCGATTGACATAATTGAAATTCTAGGCAACATTCATCATCTTGTAAATCTGATTCATCTCAAAATAAATCGATGTTATACGTCAGGTGAACAACGAAATAAGTCTTACTTCATCAATCAAATTTGGAATCTACCAAAACTTGCCCATTTTCATTTAAAAACTTATTATTCATCTGATGCTGATTTCTCTTGATTAAAAGTGACCTCATCCACGCTCGAATACCTGTCGATCTGCACTGTTAATCCATGTCCATTTAGTGATATGATGAATCTACTTCAATACACTCCTCATCTTCGAGTTCTTTCTATTTGTATTGAATCGGAAGATGAAGATGAAAAATTTACAATTGTTGCTACATCGATTGTCACCTTAAACATTAAAATGGTCACTTGAATGGACGTCAATGGGAACAGATTCTCGTCGATCATTTGCCCAAGATTAAAGTACTTCGATTTAAAATGTCTATTTCCGAGTTCTGTAGGACAGAGGAACAGGTCGATGAGCTACTCAATATATTTCAAACTCCGTTTTAGTTTGATGAACATCAATGGTATGCTCGATGTGACTGAGACCCAGCTCACAGACTAAGCTCTGCTTGTTTTTATACCTTACCATATTCCTTTAATGAATTAGCTGACACTGAAAATAGACGATCTAAATGAACGTGTCCTAAGGATCAAAATTATTGGTCATTTCATTGTGTGCATATGCTCTATTTCAGTATGGCGGAAAGCGAACATCTGGAATTACATTCTGTTTGCTTTCCTAATATCTATGAGTTGGTTATATAAATTCCTCTATCTGACAAGCTTTGGAGTGTCATTCCAAAATTTGATCACTTGATTTCACTACGGGTGTCAATATATGGAAAAGATTCTGGATCTGTCCTTCAAACTTTGTTTGATCGAGCACTTCGTCTTTATAACTTGACTATTGACAGCTTGCATCTGTCGGAGATAATGGAACTATCTAGACTTAGAACTGCATACATTCGTCAACTTCAATTTTCTCCTGTACTTTACACTGATTCGTGCTATTTTAATGGTGTAGAATGTGCTGCATTGACTAGTTCACCACTTGGACGTGAATGTGAAATTCTTGTTATTCACGTTGAATCTCAAGCAAGCGTAGTATATCTTGTGAACACAATGACGAATCTTCGAGCGATGACAATTTGTTTCAAATATGACGAAAACGAGAATTTACCCTCAGCGAAAGCGGAATTGAACGAGTGTATACAAAATTATCTGCCAGCAAGATGTTCCATTAGCAATTATATGCATCATGAAAATTATGCCAGGCTGCAATTATGGATTGGTTAAGACGGAACGCGTCTATCTATCGCACATATGCATCATACTGTATAATTCTATTGAAGAATAACTTTTTTTCTTTGATTTCCTTGTTACTACCCAGTTTCTTTTTTGGAAAACGTATTTTTTAGACCAGGAGCATTTGCATATCTTTGTTCATACATAGTAGTCGCATCAAATGCGAAGAATGTTCTATAAAAACGACATATAAATCTGAGTTGTGCAAAAAAAATTTAAAATAAGGTGATACAACACAAGCTTGTCTTTTACAATGTGAGTAATTTATTTATATAATTGACAAAAGTAAAAAATATGACATATAGAAACAAGAAGAATGGACAACAAAACAACGACTCAATGTTAAAGAATACTCTAGAAAAGAGATATAAGGTCATTTACAAAGGACGTTCGATAAGAAATCGTATTCTTTGACTTTCTTCGGGTTCGAATATGTCTGATTTCATTTCACCTTCCCTCTTCACGGACGTCAAGTTCATAAAAAAGGCTTTAGAAAGAGTCTATTTATTTAAATATACTGTTTTCTTCGATTTGAAAATACTCCATTGACTAAGTCCATCTAAGAAAGAAATAAAGTATATATCTAGGTCGAACGCACAC